TCACCTCTCAGGCAGATGAGATCTCCCCTGAGGCGTCGATATGCAATTGGGATTAGACCAGTCGCCTGTAGACGACCTTCATAGCTAGTCCCGCATAGTCCAACAACGAGTCTAGTGGCAGCACGTTGTACACGCTCCAACTCAGCCAGTTCACCGGCCGTGCAGGGGTTGTCGCCACACCATCGTACTCGAGTCTTGGTCTGACATGGGAAGCGTACAGCGGCCTGATAGCGCCTATTGTGAGCTGGTTGAAAGACCGCCGAATAGGCCCAAGAATGCTCCATGCGCTAGCGCAGATCCGATCCGTGTTTTCTCGGGTCTTTAGTGATGACGTAACCATAACAACCAAGTCTCGTTTGCACGATCTTCTGCGCAATGTGGTTCTCTGGAAGTTGTAGNGGTGAGCACACTTTACTGTGTTGACTGGAAGAGCCCAGATATCCGCCCACTGAGCCAGGTTGCTTAAATCCGCTTGAAGAGAACTTCGATCATTCGGATCCTTGATTATTCGCCAGATTTTGATTTCATCCGCATACATGAGGGATGGGCTGCACAGTTGACCGGGCAGGTCGTTCACATATACCGCAAAGAGCAATGGACCAAGACCGAGCCTTGGGGGACGCAACTGGGAATACCACGCAGAGAGCGATTCGCCAACACAGACGCAGAATTTTCGTTCGATGAGGAAGTCTCGCAGCCAATTCCTCATTACGACACCTACACCTAGGTTGGACAGCTTTCGCAGAAGGAGGTCGTGCGGCATCTTGTCGAAGTCCACGAAGATGATATCCGTTTCGTGTACTTTGGTCTTGTTCTCTGGCCAGCATTTCTGCACAAGTAGCAGGTTTGAGAGGCATGAGCGACCCGGCCGGAAACCGTGTTTTTGGTGGCACACCAAATGCTGCTGAAGCCGTGCAGCCACCAGTGGCTCCATTACTTTACCCACAACGCTAGTAAGGCTGACTGGTCGGTAGTTCCCAGGGTCACTCCTATCCCCAACTTTTGGCAGTGGAACAATGACAGCATCCTTCCACTGCCATGGTAAACGCCCTTGAGTGAATGACAAATTGAACAGGTTGCACAGTGGCGTTGCGAGTTCACCTGCCAGCTCCTTCAGGCTCAGCGGATGCACACCATCAGGTCCAGGTGACTGGTGAACCTTTATTCGACGCAGCTCCAGGGCCACCTCTCCGATTGTAAGTTGGGTCCAGTTCAGCGCATTGTCAGTGTCCAGTAAATGTGCCAGTATGCTGGAGTATGGGGTGTACACTGAGGCATAATGTGATGCCAGCATCTGCGCTTTGTCCTCGTCTTTTTCGGCTAGTGCCCCATCTTTGGCGAGAGTCGGGAGACCAAGCGTTGCTCTGATTCTTCGCCTGAGGTAGCCATACAATCGCTTTGGTGCTTGTACTGAATCCGCTGCTAGTCGTTCCTCGAATCTGGTTCTCTTGCATTTGTTAGTGCAGTACAATGATTACGAATACATCGATATGAGGATCCTCATATCCTGCACCTGTTGCACGGTATCTGGACCAAGCTTCATTCCGCTGCCGGAGGCACGCCCACAGTTCTCATTCAAACCACAGCGTGTGTTCGGTGGCGGTGAGGTGGAGAGAATTCTGGTACGAGTTGCTGGATTCTATGACGAACCAACTCCCAGGATACATTCAAATCCGAATAATGATTTGTCCATTGACGATGTATCGTCAATTGACCATGTGGTCAATGGACGAATTTTAAAGAATATCACAATAGAGTCTACATGTAGCATTTATCTGAAAACAGGCATATGCCTGTTTTCTGATTTCTATATAGAAATCAGTAATAAGCACAAGCATATATTTTAAAAATTTATTTTCAATTCAAATTGAGAATATATTTTAAGTTTGTAGTTCCACAGAATGAAAAATCTTCGAATAGATAAATTAATTTAACCCAGAACAATAATTATTCTTCTGGGTTTGATTACTACGGAAAATCTAGTAGTGTATAATTTTGTATGCATCGAA